CCCCCCCCCCGCCCCCAGGATGATGACCACTTGCCTGGCATGATCCTTGTGAAACGTAGCCTTGGGCCGGCGAAAACCCGGCATATCGCTCCGTCCCGCCATTGGTGTAGGGATGCGAGATGTATGGGCTTACGACTATGGCATGCGGCTTGCGTTTACGTGAGCGCACCTACCCTTTGCAATCCACCAACCATCCCGCGTGCAGGCTTCCCCGAGGAGTGGCTGGCGAGCACCTTCTCGGCGGCGACCGTTGGGAACGGCATCATGGCCGTGCTCGCTGGGGTCGTGGCACAGGTCGCGGCCGACAAGCTCGGAGACATCGGGCCATTTCAGGCACGCAGAGCAGCGGTGTTGCAGCAGCAGTAGTGCTAGCGGGTGTCATAGGTTGACACCGCCGCTATAAGTGCGAGCATGTACTTACCAAGCGCGTTCACCCGCACTGTATTGCTGGCACCGGAACTGCTTGATGTTTTATACATGCATTTTTGTGCCAGCCAGTTCAACCCGTTCTATATCGGGCACCGGCACTGTACGAGGCCCCAACCCCCCAAGCTGAGAACGGGGGCATTGCTGTTATTGCGGAGTTGTGGTTTGGGTTGTTGCTTGGAGTTGGTTTGCCATACCATAGGAGTGCGGGAATCTCGACTTGTTGCGATACACTCCCGCGTGGGTTCGCGAGATATTTCGGGCGAAGATCAGCGTTACGGCCAGTTGTATACAGGCTATCCAGTGTTTGCGTTGTACGGAATCGCTTCCTGGCGTGGTGTGTGTGTCTCTCTTATCTCTTTATTTTTTGTATTGACCGCGTTTACCGGTTGACCAATGAAAAATTGTCAGTCTCAGTGCGTTTGAAAAACAGAAAATGCATCTCTTTGCCATGCTTTGTGTGTGTGCGGCGAGGCGATCCTGTTTACAAAGGCTAGCCCATTAAACCATTGGGTCAACCGCTGACTGAGTGGTCCAATGGGGACAGCGGCGAAGACTTCCCTTCTCTTGTGTGTTGAACGGCAGTGTTTGCAAGCAGACTCATCCCACGGACGCTCCTCTTCACACCAGCCAGAATCATCGCCTGCCTCTGCAGATATGATAGGCACAAACTATAATGGCTTCAATCACCATGAAGGCGTGTGAGACGTGTGTACGCACAGCATTGATTTTTTTATTTTTTTTGCTTTGGCTGTTTCGTTGGCTGTTCGAAGAGCTGCTCATCTGTCCGAACAAAAACCCCTGCCAAGACGCCTACACAACCACGACTAGTTTTTTCCATGTTTTTTTTGCGCGTTTGACCTCCGTCTGTGAACACCCAAGAGAGAACCCAACCTCCGCCGGTGGAATAGAAACCTCGTGTACATCTATGCCACACCACTAATCCTAACCAGTTTGTTTTTAACGACCGAACAGGTGGCCATCACCCTGACCCTCCTAGCCCTGAGCCTCTTGATGCTGTGGGAGGAGAACTACGGCTACGGCGAGGAAGGAAAGGCTCCGGTCGTCGTCGCGAACGGTGACGGGGTCACGACCAACGGTAACAACGGCCGGAAAGAAGCCCCCGCATCCACCACCGCGGACGCCGCAAACGGCGGCGGCGGCGGCGGCGGCGACGCCTCCGTTGCCGCCGTGGCGCCGGCACTGGGCGCCCGGCACTGTAGTGAAAACGGCGGGGATAACGGTGACAGCAATGGTGATGGACCTTGTTGTAGCGGGGGGGGTGGCGGCGGTGGGGGGGCGCCTGGCTTGCGGAAGTCGGTGGCGATGGCGTGGGATTGCATCGTGTCCGACCACCGGGTTCTGCTGCTGGGGATGGTGCAAAGCCTGTTCGAGGGGGGCACGTTTACGTTTGGTGAGGAGATTTGCCGGATACTCGTATAGCGTTGTTGTTTAAGCTGGGGGGCGGGGTTTGTTGGCGTAGGTATCCTGACCTATACTTCGTCGGGCCCAGTTACTTCCTGCCGTCGGTCTTGCCTTTTTCTCTGCTGAAGGAGCTTGGGTGCGGGGTCACACAGAAGGGTGTGATGCTTGCCTCCGTATTTTACGCTTGAGGAGGGCCTCATTTTTCCCGTTCCCCCCCCCCCCCCCC